CGATTTCGGAAAAGAAAAGAGAAAAAGAACACGAAAATCAGAGATCCAACTCCCTAAACTAGATTTCCTTCTTCCTTCGCGAAGAACACGGATCAAACCTCAATTCCATAGCCTCACAATCACAATCACAAGCTTTTAGGATCGAGAACACGAAGAAATCAACAATAATTCTTCCACTTTTCTCATTCCTCTCTAAAACTCTGAAACTCTAAAAAACCTCTGGAAACGCGGCTCCTCGCTTTTATAGGCGAACCCTAGGGTTCTCTTAACCAATCCACAAACCGAACAGATCAAAATCGAACCAACCGTTTCAATTCGAAATTTGCGTCGATCGACGCACCCACCTGGTGTCGATCGACGCATACCCAAAATTCTAATTTTTGGTTCACGGACGTTACATGCAGCCCACCACCTAAAATTCTGTTGTCGATGGAAGCCAACCGAAAAGCCAAACCAGAGAAGCGCCACTTCTCCAACCCACCGCAACAGAGTAAGAACAACAAATCTCCAATCGGACCACCGCCCATAACCACCGTAAAGAGAAACAATAGCCATGTTTGGATCTTCAACCGAGATAGAACTAACTAGGAAGCCGGCAATGAAACCGGTGAACCGGCGATGAAACCAGTGAACCGGCGACGAAGACCCACTTAAGACTTAATGAAACCTCCTAACCAAACCCAATGAGAGACGCCATCCTCTAGCAATAGACGAAGGGAGTGGTGAGAGATGCATCGACTAACCCAAACGAGCTACAATTCTAACCAGAGAAGGCTCCGGCAACACTACTCGTGATGAGCAAATCGGACCAGATCTACATCAAATGCCTAAAGATCTCGAAGAACTAGTGGCCGAGATGAAACAAATAAACAAAGAAGTTCCCTCTCACGGTGGCGTTGAMAAAAACCGGCCACCGAAGAGAGAGATCGGAACGTATGTTGACGGCGCTAGGGCGAGCTCTTGTCTTTGGGAGAGAGCAACGATTGGGTTGGGCCTTTCCTGGAGTCGCTTAAGCAATATCTATCACCATAAATTTGAACCTTCCAGCCCATCTATCCCAACAAAGTCCAATTGTATCTCTTGCTTTGAGCTTCTTCGATGTCACAATATCTGGCCATCCCATCATGAAAGAGTAACTACCATAATGTGGTGGCCCTTGTCCATGGCTCAGGATCAATCTTACGAGACGAGGTCCTTCGTTACTAGCAATATTTTCTACCGTCACAAAAGGGCCTCCCAACAAGGTGGTTTTTGTTATGGAATGGATTCCAGAACGTTCCATCTTAGGAATTATGTACCATTCCATCTCATCTTTTGAAAGAGTTACACTACCTACCAGATCACCAGCTGCTAGAGTTTTCTTTATGGTCCATAGATCATACTGGCTTAAACCAAGGTCAGGTTTTAGGGCCATGGTTATTGTTAGCCGTAAATTACTATTTACGTGGAATA